GGCGGGGGCAGTGCTGAGGGCGGGCCGTGTCGGGAGCGTGGGGGACTGCAGGGTGGGGGTGCATCAGGATTGGGGTGGGCATATTTGGGTCTGGGGGGGTTATAAGCGGGCTCGGGGGATTTGGGGAGCTGTGGGGACTGGGTGAATTATTGTGGGGGCGGGGGGGAGCTGCAGGGACTGTGCTGTGCAGCGGCCGCAGCTTCCGCTCCGTGCACGAGTGCTGGTAGTGCATAGCCCTCAGCAAACGCGGGGGGAGCACCCCCATCTCCCCGCCCCGGGAGACCCCCGGCCTCCCCAGAGCCATGGGCTGGAGCCGGAGTACGAGATGGCGCTGAGCAACGGGGATTCCTTCCGGACGCGGCGCCTCTCGGCTGATGAATTCCGTGCGGCCGCGGCCGGGGGGGGAAAGGCAGTGGGAGGGAAACTGGCGTGCATCGAGATCGGGGGGGTATCTTGGGAGTTATGGGGGTCTGAGGGGGCTTATTGGGGTCCGCGTGGTCTGCAGGGGCTGGAGGGGCTGAAGGGATTGGTGTACATCAGGGTCTGAGGGTATATTGGGAGTTATGGTGGTCTGGAGGGGCTGCAGGGATTGGGGGTGCATTGAATTGGGGACGTATATGGGGGTCTGGAGGACTTTTTTGGGGGTTGAGGGGTTGGAAGGATTGGGGTGCATCAGTATTGGAAGACATATTGGAGGTTATTGAGGCCTGAGGAAGCCGAAAGGGTTGGGGTACATGGGGATTGATGGTGGGTCTGCAATGCAGGGGGCGTCTGTGGACACTGGTGGTTATTGGGTCTTCATGGGGTGAACCTCCTCTCAGCCCACTCCCCCACGTTCCCCAGGCATCCTGGAGACAGACATCACCTTCCTCCTCATCTTCATTGTCATCTTCTCACTATTCATCAGTGAGTGGCTGGGGGGAAATCTGAGCTTTGAGAGGGCCTGGGGGGAGGTGGTGCTTTGAGAGATCCTGGGCTCACCCCCCAGTCCCCCCAGACCTGGTCTAGGGATGGCAGCTGCTCCA